TTGGAGGCGTACTCCAAGGACCAAAAGCCCGGGAAAACGCGGCAAAAATGCCGCGCGGAGAAACTGGGTTAAAGAGGTACCATACCCAATAATACAATAATAATAAAACGGACAGTAACCAAAAAATAAAAGTGGAAAGAAGTGTGAGAAAATACACATAGAAGATAGTAGATGGGAAAAAAGTAAATCAAACAGATATAGAATAAAGGGTAAAAATATACATGTGAATAATATAGTAAATTAATATGAATAAAACAGATGAGAGTTACAATAGTAGATAAATCCCAGAAAAAAATCCCCCACAAAAGTAGGAGACAGTGGCACTCTGACCTGTACTGGTGTGAAGCAGCAAAGAAAGAGGGAATGACATCACTGGGAGGGACCTATATACCTTGTTATTCCTTTTTTCTTATTGGTTACCTTGTTACTATGTGAAAAAGTGCAGCTGTGAAGCTTAAGTAAAGAAAGTCTTAAGCAAATACGAAGCCTCCTGTCATGTTATAAAATTGAATTTAAGTTTACATTACATCTTCAATAGGAAAATGATAAATTGGTTCTTAAATTAGACTTACTAACCACAAACAAAATCTTATGTATTAAGTGGGAGAGGAATAATGATTTACATCCTATAATTTAAAAATAATAGATAAAAGTGCAACCTTCCTTCAAATAGCTAATAAAATAAACTGAAAAGTTTCATTTTATAACTCCATGGGATTAGGTAGAAGGGTATTTGTAAAAAACCTGATATGGATATAAAAGGAAAGCTCTTGTAAAAGAGACGGTATCCTAAAAATTGTGATATTGAAAAATAAAAAGAGGTGGAATGATAGCTTTAAAAATGAATGTAGAATGAGGTTTATAAAAAGTGGCAGAGCTCAAAATCGGAGTTAAGGCCGTGCAGGATTAATGTATTTAATCTATAAATCCATTCCATCTCGGATTTACCAAGTTCTTTGATAAAGTCACCTCCTCTCCAGTTCTTTTCCATCTTTTTTCTACCCATAAAAGTTAAACCTTTGGGTTTTTGATCATGAAATGTTTTAAAATGGCTGGAAACACTATGTTGCTCAAATCCTTTTTGAATCTTGTATATATGTTCTCTTATCCTCACGTGTAGGGGTCCGGTGGTCCGGCCCATATCTTAACCCACAGGGGCAGGTTAGAAGGTAAACCAAATTCTTGGTGTAGCATGTCATAAATTGTCTAATCGGTATTTTTACACTTTCGTTTAAAACTATATCTTTAATCACTCTTCTACTGCATCCAGACTTTTTACAAGATGTGCATAAGCCACAACCGTAAAAGCCCTTTTCATTTCCAAATACCGTTGAAGGTTTTTTTCTCTTTAAGGGAGCTTCTAACTAGGGTACTTTTAAGATTTCTCACGCCTCTAAAAATCACTCTGGGTTTTGGGGGAAGGATTGACTTCAAGGCAGGATCTTGTAATAAGATCGGCCAATATTTATTTACAATCTTGCATATTTTCTGGTTATTTGTGTTAAAATTGCAAATAAAAGGTATATCTTTTACTTCTGTATTAATTCTAGCTTTATAAGTAAGTAAATCCTTTCTTTCCCAATGTTTAATTTCTAATATGGAATTCTCCAATTTCGATGCATCATAGCCTTTCTACATAAAATCCTTCTTGATTTTCAATGATTGGTCCTCATAACTGGTCAGGTCACTACAATTTCGACGAATTCTAAGGAATTGTTCTTTCGGGGCATTTTCCAGCCAAGGTGAATGATAGCAACTTATATTCTTGATGAAACTGTTACAGTCTACTGATTTAAAATGGTTTTTGGTTTTAATTCTCCCTTCTTCAATATAAATATCAAGATCTAGGAAAGTAACTTCTTCCTTACTCCTGGTGCTGGTCAGCTTGATCCCCCAAGTATTATTTAAAAATTCTACTACTAACGCTATTCTGTTAAAGTGGTCATTAGATCACAAAAACACACCCTATCTCTCAGTCATGATGTAGAGTTTTTGCATGCAAGGATAACCAGATCTAATCCACCTGGTTATCCACATATATACTCCTATACTTTAGAGGGGTTAATTATATAACAACCACTGAAGGTAATACGTTGGTTGCTCTTCCTGCCCTAACAGCCTATTCATGGCTAGGAAAAGCTCATATAGATAGAAGTAATGTACTTCGAACTCCTGAAAAGGAATATTGGTGGCTCAATATGGAAAATACTGTAGTTCATGTGTTTAGTAATTGTAAGCATTTGCTTATTGATAACTAGGCCACATTTCTGATGTACTGTTTATTGAAATATTAATACCTAATGTACTTTTTGAATGACTTTATATTGGACATTTGCCAAAATCTCATGGTTATAAATATGTTTTTGTATGTGTTGATGCATGTACCAGGTTTACTGGGATATATCCTGTGCAAAGTGCAACCTCTGATACCACGATTGCTAGTCTCACTTCCTTAGTATGCATTTGGTAGTCCCAGGACCACCCACTCGGATGATGGTCCTGCAGATACTGCAAAGGAAACCCAAAACTGGGCAACCACATTTGGATTACTTTGGGAAATCAGTGCACCCAACCACCCCCAAAGTAATGGGGTTGTGGAACTGAAAAATGCCGAGGTGACATGACTATTAACCAAGTTACTAGTTGCTGGCCCCCACACAGTGTTACCTACTTATTCCTATGGTACAGATGAGCATTAACAGCATACCTGATGATACAAATGGTGAGACACCATATCAAATGTTATACCTTTTTCACTGACAATCATATTTATGCACCAAAGGGAGCTTAGAACCATTGGTGCTATTAGAGAAATTTAGGGAATTATTTTTTCCAGCCCACCTCACCATGCACCACCACCTATTTCCTACTGCTGGCCAGTTTGACCTGGAGAGGGTGACTCCAAGAACTTTTACTACAGAGAACAATTAGAGCCAACAGAGAACAGTAAGTTTTGATATTTTAAGCGGACACTTGGATGTTCGGGTCCGGCGAGTTCGAAAAAAAGTCCGGGTTCGGGATCGAACTTCACCCAGAACCCGAACCCCATTGAAGTCAATGGGGACTCAAGCTTTTGGGCACAAAAATGCCTCTAAAATACTCCTGGAAATGGCTGCAAAAGGAAGTAAAATGGGGGTGAGTATGACAAGTGCCCTGCAAACAAATGTGCATAGGGAAATCACTTAAAATAACATAAAAATTAAAAATACAGTTGAGCCATAAAATAGCACTAGATTGAATCTTTGATTTTAGCTTTGGAAGAACGTAAATCTAAATCTAAAGCATGACTGTCAGGAAGATCAACAGAATTATCCATTTGAGAGAGGGTTGGAGTGCAGGGTATTCTCTTTCATTGTTCAAACTGAGCTCAGCTCCTGATGCATGGAGAAAATGCCTTCACAAGCCTCTGCTATTGTGTACATAGTTTATACTAAGTGACCCATAGGTTGAGGAGGCAGTGACCGTGGCGGTGTAGGTGGAAGCAGCGATGGAGGAGGAGGTGGTAGCCAACACGTTTATATATATATATATATATATATATATATGTATATATATATATATATACATATATATATATTTTTTTTTTTTTTTAATTGGGGTAGCCCCCAAAATATTGGGACATATAAAAAAAGAAAGCTCTGTTCCGCAGAACGACTGACCTGTGCATGCTGCATCTGAAACTCCACTATCGCCTGCTGCTGCTCGCACAGTCTCTCCAGCATATGCAAGGTGGAGTTCCACCTTGTGGGCACGTCGCATGAGGCGGTGAGCAGGAAGGCCGAAGTTACACTGCAGCACAGACAGGCAAGCAGCAGCAGGATGAGAACGCACTTTCTGCAGGAGCTCTGATATATCTGGGTAGTTTTTCAGGAATTTCTGCACCACCAAATTCAGCACATGCGCCAGGCAAGGGATGTGCGTCAAATTGGCTAGGCCCAGAGCTGCTACAAGATTTCGCCCATTATCGCACACCACCAGGCCGTGCTTGAGGCTCAGTGACAACAACCACTCATCGGTCTGTTGTTCCATGCCCGTCCACAGCTTCTGCGCGGTGTGGGTTTTTCCCCCCAAACATATGGGTTTTAAAACAGCCTGCTGTCGTTTCCCCCTGGCTGTGCAGAAGTTGGTGGTGAAGGTGTTACGCTGACCAGATGAGGGGGTGGTAGAGGAGGAGGAGGAAGAAGCTGAGTAGGAGGAGGAATAGGCAACAGGAGGCAAAGCTGTGTACCCAAATAAAGATTGTCAAACGTTGTATCCTGGAACTGTGTCCAATCCGGTTACTGGGGAAATGGGTCTGACCTATGCTAATCAAAGGTCCCGCTTCAATTGGTGGCAAGCGGCGGGATCCCATGTCCCTGCCAACAGACCCATGGACTACAGTGCTCTAAAGCGACACTGCAGGACTTGTGTGGAGCCAGAGGAATAACGCCTGGTGGGCGTAACAAGGCCAAATTGACTGCTGCGCTCATGGAGGACGACCAGGCACGCAGTGAGGCAACGAACCCCAGCCAGGGGGAGGAAGTGCGCGAGAAGGTGGAATGGTGCCTGTCCTATTACCAAGAGCAACCCTCAGAGGAGATTGTCAGCAGGACCTTTTTAGAGGTGCAAGCCTATGTCCTTGCCAATAGACAGAGGGTGACCTCCATGAACTCAGATGAAGGAAGAAGGGAGCAGAGGGCGCCGGGTAGAAAAACCACCCTGGCCCACAAGCTAACATACAATGCCTTCAAAGACTTCAAGGAAGCAGAAGAAGGCATTGATGACTTTTTACAAGACTTTGACCGCCAGTGTCTACTCCAAGACGTGGACCCCAGCGACTGGGTCACCATCCTGGCCAGCAAACTAGTGGGGAAGGCAGCGGATATTTACCGGGCTGTACCAGAAGATCAGATCAAAGACTATCCCTTTATTACCCAAATCCTCCTGGCCCGGTTTGCGGTCACCCCCGAGCAATACCGCCGAAAGTTTAGGGAGACCCGGAAAGGGGAGAAGGACTCCCATGCAGAGTGGGCATGCCCCATCACAAGGGCCACCCAGAACTGGCTCAACTCCCATCAAGCCAAGTTCCCGGAGGTGATCACCCAGCTCGTCATGCTAGAGCTCTTTTTCAATGGGCTCCCCAACAACAAGGCCACTTTCTGCGCCTACCATGGTGACCATGGGTAACGGGGAATCAGGGTTCGATTCCTGAGAGGGAGCCTGAGAAACGGCTACCACATGCAAGGAAGGCAGAAGACGCACAAATGACCCACTCCCGACGCGGGGAGGTAGTGACGACAAATAACAATAAAGGACTCTTTAGAGCCTCTGTAATTGAAATGAGTCCACTTGAAATCTTTTAACTCTGATCAATTGGAGGGCAAGTCTGGTGCAGAGGGACTGACCGGTGCGTGCTGCAGCTGAAACTCCACTATCGCCTGCTGCTGCTCGCACAGTCTCAGAGCAGGAAGGCCGAAGCTGCATCAGGGTCCTGGTATGTGGCCACACAAACGCTGGTGCTCAACACCAGGGGGTGTGACGTTACACTGCAAATCTATTCCACACTGACTCCTAACTTCAACATCATGCATATCGGGTCCCGGTCGTCCGACTGGCGTCCAGACAATGTCTGGGTCCCGGTCACCAGACTGCGAAAGGCTTGTTAAATCTGTTATGGTTCCTTTTATCGCTCCATCTGTTACTTGGATAACTGTGGGAATTCTAAAGATAATACATGCCGACGAGCGCTATGGGACGGCCGCTCCGCTTTTGCACCCTGCTCCCTCTTATGCTGTGCTGGTGCCTCTGTGTGACCAGCGCCTCTTCCTCCAAACTGCACACATCACTCGCATGACCTTGATTCCATGTGGGGTCTAGGACCTCATCATCCTCCACATCATTTTACACCCACTTCTCAACCCTGCCCTCATTGCCGGTCTGCACACTGCAGAAAGCCACAGCAGTTGGCACCTGTGTTTTTCCAGCATGTAAACTCTGCAAAGGACATATGGGAATTGTTTTAGAATTGTATCCAGGAAACATTTTTCCCTATAAACTGACCTCTCAGTTTGACTTGTGAGTGTATTGGCCCCGAATTACAATATTGTTATATTGGTATTTGACGGTTCTATTTGACTGTCAGATATGAAGTGCAGGCCGCAAATGTACTATTTAGCACCCACAAAAAATAGAATTTTTCAAAGTGCGCTGTAACCAAAGTATTTGACAGTTCTATTTTACTCAGATATGAAGTGCACCACTGGCCGCAAATGTACTATTTAGCAGCCAAAAAATGTGAATGTTTAAAACTGTCACAGCACTATTTGACGCTTCTATTTGACTCTAAGATATGAAGAGCACACCCCTAATTTACTATTAAGCAGTTTAGCACCAAAACAATTAGAATTTTTACAACTGCACTGTAACCGCAGTATTTGACGCTTCTATTTGACTCTCAGAAATGAAGTGCACCCCACTAATGTACTATTTAGCAGATTTGCACCCAGAAAATAAGAATGTTTACAACTGCGCTGTAACCGCACTATTTCACGCTTCTATTTGACTCTCAGATATGAAGTGCACCCCGCTAATGTACTATTTAGCAGATTAGGACTCAGAAAATAAAAATGTTTACAATTGCGCTGTAACCACAGTATTTAACTCTCAGATATGAAGTGCACCCCACTAATGTACTATTTAGCAGATTAGCACCCAGAAAATAAGAATGCTTACAATTGCGCTGTAACCGCAGTATTTGACGCTTCTATTTGACTCTCAGATATGAAGAGCATGCCCCAAATTTACTATTTAGCAGTTTAGCACTAAAACAATTAGAATTTTTAAAACTGCGCTGTAACTGCAGTATTTGACGCTTCTATTTGACTCTCAGATTTTATGTGCACACCCCAAATGTACTATTTAGCAGTTTAGCACCAAAAGAATTAGAATTTTTACAACTGTGCTGTAACCTCGGTATTTGACGCTTCTATTTGACTCTCAGATATGAAGTGCACCCCACTAATGTACTTTTTAGCACCCAAAAAATTGTAAGTTTTAAAACTGCAATGTGACAGTAATATTTAATGCTTCTATTTGACTCTCATATAAAGCCCTGAGGAGTCAGCATAGCTAAACGGACAAGGGCACATGTATGAGTGTGGGGATGGTGCTAGTGATTGGCTATATGTTTTAAGGGGAGTGGTTATGGGTTTGTAGTGGGACAGGGATCACCTTACCTCAGTGCCTTTTGTGATTCTGGCCAGCAAACAACTTCCTTGCCTCTGTGCTCCTGTTTGTCCTGGGCCTGCATGCTTTTCCTGCTTGAGGGATGGCTGTGGATTCAATCCTGTCTGCCCTCAGAGCTGCTGCTGCCCTGGATGATGGCAGACACCTTCAGGAGCAATATGCTCCCCTCCAGCCTGGCCTGCCTGCTGGTGTGGGTTCCCCCCTCCACCCCGCGGTCAGGCCTCTCCTGGGCCTCCCACGCGGCTACTGCCCCTGTAGGCCGCAAGAGCATGGGCCGGAGCTCAGCTGACCCCTGATCCCTCAGGCCTGAGGCACCACTAGGCCCACGTGTCAGCTCCATCTGCTCCATCTGACACCCGGCCTGCTGCTACTGCCGCCCCCGCGCACCCCCGGCGTTGGACAGCAGGCCAGGGGTTCCAGAAGACCTGCTGAGCATCCTGGGGGGGTCTGGGAGGCGTTCCCAGCCCCCACGTGGTCAGCACACGGCGGATCCAGAGCCGGGCCGTTAATGGTGAGTGGGCCCCTCAGGGCCACGCGGGGCATGGCTGTACTGCCGCTGGGGGGTGGAGGGGGGTTCTCTCCGGGCTCTGATGTCTCCTCTGGGGATGAGGGTCGGCCGGGGGGGTCCCCGTCTCCCCCCGGGTTCTGTCCCAATTCCTCCCTCCCCCCCTGTGGTGCCATCCCTTGTCCCCTCTCCCTCTGGAATCCCCTCTCCCTTGGTTTACCTCCTCCTTGCCTGTTACTGCTGTCCTGGCTCTCTCTGCTCCCCCTCCTGGCTTTATCTCTATCTCCCTCCTTTCTCCTCCCCTGTTCCTGCTGTGATGGGTGTCCTTCCTCTCTCTAAGCCCTCTCCTTGCTCTCTCTGTCTCCCTTCCTCCTCCCCCCTCTCTCTTGTCCCTATTCCTGGTCCCTATGACCCCCCTTCCCCCCCCAGTACTTACCTCGGCTGCCCTCCTCTGCGGGGTGTGAGCTCCTCTCCACGGCTCTTCACACAGGATCTGGCTGCAGTTCCTGTGACCGGCCAGCAGATGGCGCTGGGCTGAGCAGTGCTGAAAATGAAGTTAACTCTGTCCTGCTGTTACCAGGAAACTGACGGAGGCCAAGCACAGAGAGATGGACACAGGTTTCTTCAGGAAGGAAGAGATCTTTATTCGATTCACCGACCGGGACTCAGAGGGACTTATGTCACCAAAAACAGCAAAGATCTGAGCACTGAATACATAGAGTACATTCCTTATATAGCACTGTAGCTCCTCCCATAATTAGCTACGCCCACACATACCCTTAATCTAATCAAGGAATTGAGTCTAAACTCATCCATCCGGTCTAACCACGTGGCTCATCTGAAACAAAGGAGAGGGACGCGTAATTCCAGTTCCTGCATTCCTGCACATGCTCAGTACAGTGATGACAGTATCTTAGCTACGTGTAACTAACTAACTGATACTACAAACACATGTACCTACATATGCCTTGTGGCAATCTTGGCCTGCTAAACTTTTATTTTACTGGAATTCCATCACATTCCCCCCTTTGATGCTTCTGATTTAAAATAATTCCAGATGCATCACCAATCATAGTTTGCTTACACCTCAAGTTGCCATAAACCAGACTAGACTTTGCTATCCTCTAAAGATACGAACCCCTCAACATTCCTCTTCCTGCATGTATTCTCCTTGATCTAGAGCTTCATACCTGCAAACAGCCATTACCTGTGCTGCGGCCTTTCTTTCTGCTATACTTTCTATAATGCTCTGCATAGACCTAATTACCAAAGGAATCAGACATGGCAGAAGGAGACACAACATCAAAATCAGTATGACTCCACCTACCAATGCCTTGATTCCTCCAAACTGCTCATACCAACTACCAAACCAACTACTCGGATTATACCCTTTCCATACCTGAGTAGGTACATGTGCTAGCTTAACCATATGGCTAGTAAGCTCAGCTATTGCTTGCCCTTCATCATCTATTTGAAGACAACAATTGCTTAGATTAAACTTCCCACATACACCTCCCTCTACTGCCAATAGGTAATCCAAAGCTAATCTATTCTGGTAGATGGCTGTCCTCATCCTAGTGTTATGCTTCGCTAGGAGATTGAGCGCTTGTGATGTTTCATTGGTAACTATCTCAACTACTGCTTGCAATCTTATAATACGATTAAGCATATATATTGGGGTTCTGTATCCATAAGTACCATCCTCTGCCCACGTAGCTGGCCCATAATAATCTATAATACGCTGGGGAGGCCACTCATCATCTTCCCAGGTACCTATCTCTAGGGGTGCCCTTTTCTTCCTATGATTTACATCATATACTTTAACTCCCAAAGTCTCTCCTGTTTCAATTGGCTACAAGAAGAAGGATGGTTTGAGCATACCTAGTACACATGCCCCTTCCCAGTCTTGTGGTAACTCCGAATATGCCTTCTTACCACAAATCCAGTACAATTTTGCTGGGGCTCTCCAATTGGATGTAGCAGATAAATCAAACCATACCTCTTTCAAATTAGTGTAATTGGCAAATGGATTAGTAGGTTCCGAGACATTTGAAGCTGACCACCAAATAGTATCCTTTGTATCGTCATTATAGGCTTTCTGCCCTAAACAAGTCAATTCTCCTACAGATGTATTAAACATTATTCCTTTCCTTGCTATACAAACATAACCTATAATGGAGGTCTTTAATCGCCACTCAGATTTACCTCTAACACTCACTTGATAATCAGATTGAGAAGATATTAGTTGTTCAACTGTCTCAGAACCAGAATACATTACCTCCTTTGCTTCCCAAGGCCATTGGTCTCCCATATTAGTACCTCCACACACATAGCAGTTGGTTACATTAAGACTACCAGCAATGCTCTCAGCTAGGTCTATGAATAAGTTTTTGGCATTATGGGGAACCTTATCTTCCACACTCATCTCCTCATAAAAAGAATGGAAAACCTGATGAGTCTGGGGGGCCACTGTATCTGTCTCTATTCCTATGTATAATATCGTCCCAGGATCCAAACCTGTTCCATATATTTGGAACCCAAATAGAT